CCGTGATGAATATTACCACACATAGGATTGTTACATTCATGATAATAACTTTTTTTCCCTCTATAATAGGTCACTTAATTAAAAATTATATTTTAAAAAGGAAATGATCAGTCAAGGTCACCATGATATTTATGACCGCAATGCATATAAATTTATAGTCTGTATACAGAAGTCAATTAATGTTTTGGGCTAAAAAAAAAATTCCACAGATAATCTTGTACACTGTATTGACAGTTATTTCATTCAATTTAAACTGGCCAATGAAATAAGGGTAAAATAATAAGGCCAACTATGAAAATGGTTAGACATCATTAAAAGATAAATGGACAGGTGAAATGTACGCCTGCAAATAATAAATTAATTAAACAACACCAGAGTACGACGATATATATATATATATATATATATATATATATATATATATATATGAGTAGGTGGTGCTGGTAGTGGTGGCGGTCTTCCTCTTAGTGTGCTGTCACGATACTCAATATTAGTAATAATAATAACCTTTGTCTATAATAACATGCCATTATTTGTTCATTATTTATGAACAGTCATTTTCAGTTTTTCAAAGTATTCTTATTATAGTTTAGTTAAAATGTTGTTCACTTATTTCTGTCTGGTTATACTATCTTTTATGATAGGCCTACATGGAGGAGATTATCCATCAACACTAAAGATGAACAGGATGAATTCAAACTTTCATTTACACACAAATCCCTTAATTGTATTGTCTTTATTGAAAAGTAAGAAAATAACAAGTCCACAGTTGTATCATACATATATGTTATCAAATATAATGGAAAAAAGTGAAAAACACTATCGAATACCTGGATTTTATAAATTTAATTATCATCATCATTATCATCAACAGAATCCTTATTATAATCATAATAAAAAATATCATCATAAAGTTTATTTACCAATTAGTCAACTTAGAACTGATGAACACTTTGTTAACACATTGTTTGAACCAATTATCAGGAGAAGAATGGAGTTTAATGTAAACGATACTAATGTCAGTATGGATAAATTATTCGATAGTGGAAATCATTTAGCATCAAGAGGATGGAGACCACAACGTTATGGATAAGTTGAATTATCATTTTATTTTTCGTTATTTACAATATGTAATAATGTACACTTTGTACTAGACAATAATAACAAAATACAACAGAATATGATCACTTTTATTTATTTGATACTTTTAATTTTCTGTTCTTATAGTAAATTGAATTACTCGATCTTTGTTGGCAGAAAGACTTGTTTATGGAAATGTCAACAATGCTTGATTATCCAAATGATGAGTTCCAAGGTGGACGAAATGTTACTGTTGGGTTCCGTTAAAAGCCATCACTAAGCAAATAATAAAATATGTTGATGATGGATCGCGGCTAACAGTGGAATCCAGGATGCGTGTTTCGTCCTATTTGGGACTCGTCAGTTGGATACACTTGACACCCAGTGGATGTTGTTCCCACTGGGACTCGGGAACGACTACTTCAAACGCAAGCGTGTTACCCATTACACTACCAAGCCACTGCAGGCGACGATATCATATAAAAACAATTATACTAAAATAACAAAATAATTTTAGTTCATAAGATTTTATGATATACAAATGTCTTCAAAAATTGTCTGTAACAGTACCTAACTTGTTTTTCATAGCTTACAACAGTTGTAAGCCTTGAACAATTTGTAGGTAATTTAACAAATATTACAATTAAATTTTTATGAACAGCAAAGTCATCGCTGAGTAACTGTCCGACTGTCTGACTCGGTTGACTCCGCTGATCACCATTTCTCATTGGAACTTCGAGAATCAACTCTCGAAGAATGTCACTAGTAAGTAGTATTATTTGTCCCTTGGGTTCAGTGTCGCATAGCCATTTCACTCTCTTCGCTCCAGTCTCTTTAACCTGACTCCACAACTACCCAGAAGCTTTCATTTCTTCCTCACACAACCTACTCCATCTCACCCTCGCCTCGGACACCCTACTCGTCGTTTCCCATTTGCTTTCCACTCAACGACCTGGCATTCTGCATGATTTCCTCATACGGTCTTCTCTGTGTATCTCCACTCCAATCCATATCCACTTTCTTCTTCTGAATATTTATTGGGTGATGGTTTCTCAGTTGGTTGGTTCGTTGCCAGCCAGCCAACCAGCCAGCCAGAGTTCCTTGTTGCTTATTCTTTCTGACCATCCGATCTCCACCTTCAGTATCGAGTGAGTGTAGGCTGTAGTTGTAGTCGAATTTCTGTAGTTTGTAGGAAATGCTTTCCGTCACGTGCCAAGTCTTTGAACCATCACATAGAGGCACTGATATGACTGATATTAGTGTTGAAAATCTGGATCTTATTCATGCTTTATACTGAGTGCAGTAGATCTCCACAGTCACTAATGGACGCTATCTGGAGGTTCGTGGAGATTTAGTAATTGATTTTAGGTTTGAATTCACCACGGGCTGACATCAGTTGGACGAACATTGAACAGCTGTCTTGTCCCTGTATGGAACTGCTCAGCAGTGAGCACCCACGACCCCGCCAAGGATAGAATACATGACCCACAGGTGTGGTTGCAAGCACGTTACCATTGAGCTACTGGGTCAGATTTCAACGGTCTATATTTCATACTTCTGTTAGTTCACAATATAGCAAGACCTCTATCAAATGCCATCGCTGAGTAACTGTCCTCATGTTCGACTTGGTTGACTTTAATGGCCACTACTTCGCATTGGAACTTTGGGAATCACCTCATGGTGATTTAGTAATTGATTTTAGGTTGGAATTCTTCATGGACTGACATCTAGCGCTCATTAGTGACTAGCTTCAAATGGTGATTCCCAAAGTTTCAATGAAAAGTTGTGGCTAATGGAATCAACTAGGTCAAACACAGCAAAGTCATTAGGATTGTCTAGTTTTCTGTTCATCTAGATGGCACTCGTTTAACATCAAACGGGAAGGTGGAACATTAGCCATTCCTTTCTTTGTATCTCCGTCTATTACTCGGTAGCAGTCTGACAGCTATGCTCAGTGAAATTCACAATCATTTATTTTCCAATAAGGCTTTCTTTTCCCTCCCCCTCTCCATCTCTTCATACTCCAAATAATATACACTTAATGAGGAAATTTCTTAGTTCTTTCATTGCGTATAAATCAAACATCTACAACTGAATACAGTTAACCTTGGTGTTGACTAGCTCCATTTGGACTTGGTAACTTAAGTTACACCACTACTGAACGATGTTTGTATGATCTTCATCTGATTAGCTGAATAAATTTATAAATAAATGTCGGTTTTATTTTAAGCCATTCTTCTTGTTCAACACCGAATTTCATTAGTTGATGATATGTGCAAAGTCGTAGCTGTACTTAAATCGTCTTCTGAATCGGTTTAAACCTATCGCTGTAACTCCTTATTCTTTGAAGACAATGGAGAAACTACTTTGAATTGTGTTTCAGCCATCATTGAACGCTTTCAGAGATCTGAAGAAAATTTGCTTACAAACAAAAGATTAGTACTTCGGATGTTGCCAATTTCTTGCAACATAACGTCGTCCCCATTCTAGTTAAAGGTGCTAACTATGTTCGCTGCGCTTTCTTAGATTATACACCAGCCTTTGACCCTGTTACTAGACCAGTCTTATTTAAACAGCTTGGCATCGCTCAAACTGAGCAAAAGGTTACACATACTGGCTTCATGACTACTTTTTGAGAAGTGGCATACTGTTCACAAAGGGAAGCACTCCACTTCATTGCTTACTCAGGCCAATATGAGTCAAGATGCAGTACTTTCTTCGTTTCTGTTTTCGTTCTTTTCTGCCTCATTTACCTTCTGTTGAAACTAAGTTTATTATGTTGAATACCTGATAGCTTTCGTGCCACTTATCTCTCAGTTGACATGTTCTTAAATTTTCTATCTGAAATTGACCATTGGTCTTTCTCAAATGTTCTCAGGCCAAACCCTTATAAATGTTAGACTGCTAATTTTAACCTCAGGTGTTAACAAGGTTTGTGTGAAGTGCTTCGATTCCGACAATGCTCTCAGGTTTTTAATGGTTCTCCAAATGATGTCAATCTGTGATGAATGCTACCTCAAAATTGAAATCCGCCTAAACCTTATAATACATCACTTTTAAGTGGTTATTAGCGACATGTTTCGAGATTGATATCTCGAAGTTCTAATGAAAAGTCATGATGTGTGAGGTCAACTATTGGGAAGAGAAGTATATGCCAACCAAAAACCTTGGATGATAGTCGCTCCATATCGCAATTTGACAGAAGTAGGAAAGTGTAAACGATTAAATTCCAACCCAGTGACTGAATAGTTAACCAGTTCTACGTGAAACCTGAAAGTCCTGATTTAGATCCCTAAGGAATCCCATACTAGTAATAAAACAGCTGTCCGGTACTTTTAAGCTTTCAATATTTCTCCAACTGATGTCAGTCCGTGATGAATATTACCACAAATAGGATTGTTATATTCATGATAATAACTTTTTTTCCCTCTATAAATTATAAATTATATTTTAAAAAGAAAATGATCAGTCAAGGTCACCATGATATTTATGACCGCAATGCATATAAATTTATAGTCTGTATACAGAAGTCAATTAATGTTTTGGGCTAAAAAAAAAAATTCCACAGATAATCTTGTACACTGTATTGACAGTTATTTCATTCAATTTAAACTGGCCAATGAAATAAGGGTAAAATAATAAGGCCAATTATGAAAATGGTTAGACATCATTAAAAGATAAATGGACAGGTGAAATGTACGCCTGCAAATAATAAATTAATTAAACAACACCAGAGTACGACGATATATATATATATATATATATATATATATATATATATATATATGAGTAGGTGGTGCTGGTAGTGGTGGCGGTCTTCCTCTTAGTGTGCTGTCACGATACTCAATATTAGTAATAATAATAACCTTTGTCTATAATAACATGCCATTATTTGTTCATTATTTATGAACAGTCATTTTCAGTTTTTCAAAGTATTCTTATTATAGTTTAGTTAAAATGTTGTTCACTTATTTCTGTCTGGTTATACTATCTTTTATGATAGGCCTACATGGAGGAGATTATCCATCAACACTAAAGATGAACAGGATGAATTCAAACTTTCATTTACACACAAATCCCTTAATTGTATTGTCTTTATTGAAAAGTAAGAAAATAACAAGTCCACAGTTGTATCATACATATATGTTATCAAATATAATGGAAAAAAGTGAAAAACACTATCGAATACCTGGATTTTATAAATTTAATTATCATCATCATTATCATCAACAGAATCCTTATTATAATCATAATAAAAAATATCATCATAAAGTTTATTTACCAATTAGTCAACTTAGAACTGATGAACACTTTGTTAACACATTGTTTGAACCAATTATCAGGAGAAGAATGGAGTTTAATGTAAACGATACTAATGTCAGTATGGATAAATTATTCGATAGTGGAAATCATTTAGCATCAAGAGGATGGAGACCACAACGTTATGGATAAGTTGAATTATCATTTTATTTTTCGTTATTTACAATATGTAATAATGTACACTTTGTACTAGACAATAATAACAAAATACAACAGAATATGATCACTTTTATTTATTTGATACTTTTAATTTTCTGTTCTTATAGTAAATTGAATTACTCGATCTTTGTTGGCAGAAAGACTTGTTTATGGAAATGTCAACAATGCTTGATTATCCAAATGATGAGTTCCAAGGTGGACGAAATGTTACTGTTGGGTTCCGTTAAAAGCCATCACTAAGCAAATAATAAAATATGTTGATGATGGATCGCGGCTAACAGTGGAATCCAGGATGCGTGTTTCGTCCTATTTGGGACTCGTCAGTTGGATACACTTGACACCCAGTGGATGTTGTTCCCACTGGGACTCGGGAACGACTACTTCAAACGCAAGCGTGTTACCCATTACACTACCAAGCCACTGCAGGCGACGATATCATATAAAAACAATTATACTAAAATAACAAAATAATTTTAGTTCATAAGATTTTATGATATACAAATGTCTTCAAAAATTGTCTGTAACAGTACCTAACTTGTTTTTCATAGCTTACAACAGTTGTAAGCCTTGAACAATTTGTAGGTAATTTAACAAATATTACAATTAAATTTTTATGAACAGCAAAGTCATCGCTGAGTAACTGTCCGACTGTCTGACTCGGTTGACTCCGCTGATCACCATTTCTCATTGGAACTTCGAGAATCAACTCTCGAAGAATGTCACTAGTAAGTAGTATTATTTGTCCCTTGGGTTCAGTGTCGCATAGCCATTTCACTCTCTTCGCTCCAGTCTCTTTAACCTGACTCCACAACTACCCAGAAGCTTTCATTTCTTCCTCACACAACCTACTCCATCTCACCCTCGCCTCGGACACCCTACTCGTCGTTTCCCATTTGCTTTCCACTCAACGACCTGGCATTCTGCATGATTTCCTCATACGGTCTTCTCTGTGTATCTCCACTCCAATCCATATCCACTTTCTTCTTCTGAATATTTATTGGGTGATGGTTTCTCAGTTGGTTGGTTCGTTGCCAGCCAGCCAGAGTTCCTTGTTGCTTATTCTTTCTGACCATCCGATCTCCACCTTCAGTATCGAGTGAGTGTAGGCTGTAGTTGTAGTCGAATTTCTGTAGTTTGTAGGAAATGCTTTCCGTCACGTGCCAAGTCTTTGAACCATCACATAGAGGCACTGATATGACTGATATTAGTGTTGAAAATCTGGATCTTATTCATGCTTTATACTGAGTGCAGTAGATCTCCACAGTCACTAATGGACGCTATCTGGAGGTTCGTGGAGATTTAGTAATTGATTTTAGGTTTGAATTCACCACGGGCTGACATCAGTTGGACGAACATTGAACAGCTGTCTTGTCCCTGTATGGAACTGCTCAGCAGTGAGCACCCACGACCCCGCCAAGGATAGAATACATGACCCACAGGTGTGGTTGCAAGCACGTTACCATTGAGCTACTGGGTCAGATTTCAACGGTCTATATTTCATATTTCTGTTAGTTCACAATATAGCAAGACCTCTATCAAATGCCGTCGCTGAGTAACTGTCCTCATGTTCGACTTGGTTGACTTTAATGGCCACTACTTCGCATTGGAACTTTGGGAATCACCTCATGGTGATTTAGTAATTGGTTTTAGGTTGGAATTCTTCATGGACTGACATCTAGCGCTCATTAGTGACTAGCTTCAAATGGTGATTCCCAAAGTTTCAATGAAAAGTTGTGGCTAATGGAATCAACTAGGTCAAACACAGCAAAGTCATTAGGATTGTCTAGTTTTCTGTTCATCTAGATGGCACTCGTTTAACATCAAACGGGAAGGTGGAACATTAGCCATTCCTTTCTTTGTATCTCCGTCTATTACTCGGTAGCAGTCTGACAGCTATGCTCAGTGAAATTCACAATCATTTATTTTCCAATAAGGCTTTCTTTTCCCTCCCCCTCTCCATCTCTTCATACTCCAAATAATATACACTTAATGAGGAAATTTCTTAGTTCTTTCATTGCGTATAAATCAAACATCTACAACTGAATACAGTTAACCTTGGTGTTGACTAGCTCCATTTGGACTTGGTAACTTAAGTTACACCACTACTGAACGATGTTTGTATGATCTTCATCTGATTAGCTGAATAAATTTATAAATAAATGTCGGTTTTATTTTAAGCCATTCTTCTTGTTCAACACCGAATTTCATTAGTTGATGATATGTGCAAAGTCGTAGCTGTACTTAAATCGTCTTCTGAATCGGTTTAAACCTATCGCTGTAACTCCTTATTCTTTGAAGACAATGGAGAAACTACTTTGAATTGTGTTTCAGCCATCATTGAACGCTTTCAAAGATCTGAAGAAAATTTGCTTACAAACAAAAGATTAGTACTTCGGATGTTGCCAATTTCTTGCAACATAACGTCGTCCCCATTCTAGTTAAAGGTGCTAACTATGTTCGCTGCGCTTTCTTAGATTATACACCAGCCTTTGACCCTGTTACTAGACCAGTCTTATTTAAACAGCTTGGCATCGCTCAAACTGAGCAAAAGGTTACACATACTGGCTTCATGACTACTTTTTGAGAAGTGGCATACTGTTCACAAAGGGAAGCACTCCACTTCATTGCTTACTCAGGCCAATATGAGTCAAGATGCAGTACTTTCTTCGTTTCTGTTTTCGTTCTTTTCTGCCTCATTTACCTTCTGTTGAAACTAAGTTTATTATGTTGAATACCTGATAGCTTTCGTGCCACTTATCTCTCAGTTGACATGTTCTTAAATTTTCTATCTGAAATTGACCATTGGTCTTTCTCAAATGTTCTCAGGCCAAACCCTTATAAATGTTAGACTGCTAATTTTAACCTCAGGTGTTAACAAGGTTTGTGTGAAGTGCTTCGATTCCATGACTCCTATAGTATTGACAGCATTCCTGTAGAAAGCAAATCGAGTATTGCTTATCTTGGATTACGTTTTTCTTCTAATCTTTGTTAGTCATTTCAGATTTGGTTGACTACCGAGAATATCTTGCTCTCAACTTATAACATGAAGCAAATGAAACGTTCTGATATAACCCAGCCCCTACTTTTACAGCGTTTTAATTCTTGTATTTTACTAATTTTTCTTTCTTTTTCCCTTATGATGTTTGCTGGTCTAATAAAAAAGGACTTTGCTATATTTCATAGTACTTTGAAAGTCACGAGCAGGGTATCATTTTCTTCTGGTTTAACTGGTTAGCATCGTGGTCAACAGACAGTTGAATTCAAGCGCGCTATTAGCTACAGTAACCTCACCTAGTTAACAAGTTCACTAGTTACGAGCCGCTCCTAAGCCCGGATAAAGAGGGAAGGCTGGGCATAGAGCTGGCAACCCGACCCCGTAAAACCAATCCAATCGCTAATGAAACTTCAAAGGAAAAGGAAAATATAAAAAAACGAAGTTATTTCTCACTAGAATCGGAGAGATGAAATGACGCCGGCTGGTGAAAGCCTTTGGAATGCCAAATGGCCGATGTGTCTTCTCTCGATGAAAGCAAAAGTAAGAATCAGGATATGGAATGTCCGCACCGCATATGAACCTAGCAAGGCCGCCCAGATGGGAAAAAATGATGAGAAGTGACGCCTTTGAAGTGAAGACAGGAGTAAGACAAGGCTGCCTACTATCACCAGTGATCTTCCTGATTGTGGTGGACTGGATCATGCAAGAAACTGTGAGGAGCTGTGAGAAGATGAGTGTAAGTTGTTTGACAGAAGGAAAGACAAAGATCCTTAGAAGAGTTGGATTTCGTTGATGATGATTCATGTCTAATGTCTTATGTCGCACAAACTCGAAGATCTACAGGCAAAAACTAACAAGTTGGCAGAAGAGGTAGAAAAGACGGGCATTCAGATGACCTAGAGAAGATAGAGGTGATGAAGATACCAAACCACCAACAACGACAACAAGCACCAATCACCATCAACGGAAGAAATCTATTAAAAGTAGTCTCTTCCACCCACCCACCCACCTACCTACCTACCTACCTACCTACCTACCTAGGCAGCATCGTTTTAACTGTAGTGACCGGCGGCACAGATGAGAATGTCAAAGCCAGCCAGGACTGGAAAGACAGCAAGACAGGCCTTCATGCATTTATCTAAAATCAGTGTGAAGATCTACTGCACTCAGTATAAAGCATGAATAAGATCCAGATTTTCAACACTAATATCAGTCATATCAGTGCCTCTATGTGATGGTTCAAAGACTTGGCACGTGACGGAAAGCATTTCCTACAAACTACAGAAATTCGACTACAACTACAGCCTACACTCACTCGATACTGAAGGTGGAGATCGGATGGTCAGAAAGAATAAGCAACAAGGAACTCTGGCTGGCTGGTTGGCTGGCTGGCAACGAACCAACCAACTGAGAAACCATCACCCAATAAATATTCAGAAGAAGAAAGTGGATATGGATTGGAGTGGAGATACACAGAGAAGACCGTATGAGGAAATCATGCAGAATGCCAGGTCGTTGAGTGGAAGCAAATGGGAAACGACGAGTAGGGTATCCGAGGCGAGGGTGAGATGGAGTAGGTTGTGTGAGGAAGAAATGAAAGCTTCTGGGTAGTTGTGGAGTCAGGTTAAAGAGACTGGAGCGAAGAGAGTGAAGTGGCTATGCAAAACTGAAGCTCTTTAGTCCGCTAGAAACTCAAGGGACAATTAGTTATAATAATAAGTGACTACAGTCGTTTCTTCCGTCACTGAGGATCCACTTTATTTACAGCTGTTTCACTTTATCTCCCCAAGGTTGACAGGAAGAAATTTTATAAGAGCCTACGCTTGTACGGCTAATTACACGAATTCAACTGTGCTTTACCTAGCATGTATCTCATGTGGAGAAGAAAGTGTTAGAAAATAGCTCAGTCATCATCTTTATAATGGTGAATAATCAGTCTTTTCCATATTCCAACCATTCAGGAATAACTTTACTTATT